ATCAAAAAGTGGATTAAAAACGGTTATTCTGCAGGGATCCTCAATTAAATCCACGTTAATATTTGAACGATTGTTTGCCCAGTTGCAGTAGAGGCATGTGAATCTTTTTAAAATCATATAATCTGCCTCAATACACATAAATTTCGTTAAATTCGATTGATATTATCTCTTAGTTTGTTGTAATATAATAATATTTCTATAACCACAGTTAAATCTATATCACATTTTTGAAAAATTTTGCATAAAATTGTTGTGTAATTAAATTATTTATTAATACATCATCCAAGAGAAAAATAAATTGTTTTAAATATTAATGTACCTTATCACAATGGATTCCAGATCCATGTATTATGAATATAAAAATAAATCATCGCAGGAGAATAAAATCTTTTCAGAGAAAACAGCCTAAAGAAAAGAATAAATGAAAAATTTATGAAATTTTTTTAATTTCATATTTATATTATTCATTTCTATATCGGTGGTATATTTTTAAAATATAATATAAATAAAGAATTTGTTCATATTATTAATAATAAAAAAATAGATTTTTTATATATATCATATTTTTTGAATAATATATCAATTAAAAATCATAGACCACCCTCCCCCGCCAAATTTTTAAACAATACATTACTGGTCTTACCCAAACATACCGACAATAAATTAGTGAGACCACTGCAACAGATCTAATAATGCATTAAACCCAATCAATAAATTGGATTTTTATGTTGGAAAAATTTTAAAATTGTCACTGCCCTGATCCACACAGAATTGCCGCTGCGCTAAATTGCCGACACCCCAAACTTTGGTATGTCAAATTGTCATGTATAAACATGTACTAAATTATCTCGTTGAATCGACACAGGCAAAATAATTATGCTGAATTGGCATGCACAAAAATTTTCGCGCCGAATCGCCGTGATAATAGAAATAGTAAATCTAAATAAAAAGCTATTTACTTATAATATTTTAAAAAAATTTTATAGATTCGAAATATAATACATTTTATACAATTTTTTTATTATCATATTATTTCATGTTGATGTTGGTATTAATGGGCCTTTTAGGTAATTTCTTAAAATATTAAACTAAATAGACACAAATTAAATTTCTATAAATTTTAACTTTTAATTTACACTGCATTTATAGTAAACGCGTTATCTTCAAGCGTTGCGTTAAAATGATTCAGTTTTAAAAAATAATTTAAGACAATAATCGTATCACATATTTTCTTATCAACGCATCGCAACAATTTGCAATAACGCAACGCTTGAATATACCTCGTTTACTAAAAATGAGGTTTTAGGAAGGTTGAAAAAATTAACTTTTTTTGGGATAACTTTATCCTCTTTTAAATACTTGACTAGTGAGGTTGCCTGGGTATTTGATATATTTTCCCTATTCAATTTCATTATTATAAACATATAGTAATTTTTTTTATATTTTTCTTGCCGTTATTAATCTATTATTATTTTTATTTTCTACCAAATTTTGAATAACTTTTTCCTAGCGGACTACATGATTGCGGGCCGGCACATAAATGTACACAACAGTTCGAAAAACTGTCGTTTAAACGTCTATAGACTGAGATTAAAATAGGGCAAAGAGAAATCCGCACATATATTTAATTACTTTGGAACAGGGCAAGGGCTGATTTTCATTTTAAATGTCTGTCTACAAATAGGTAAATTCTCTTGGTGTTAATATTAATAGTGTAAATAAATTGAAAGACTTGTTGTCATTTTGACTATAAAGTTAATTTAGTTGTTTTATTGAATTCCTGATTCCGATTGCAAAATCCCCCCCCCTGTTATATAAAGATAGATGTGACAATAAAATAGTTTCGAATTTCATATTTTCATTAAAAAGAGAAAATAAACAAAATTCGCTATAGTTTTTTTGTATATTTACATGACTTGCACAGATCTAAGTCTTCTATAGAAATGAGTTGATCAATGTTAGTATACCTCAATTCTATACATTGAGATAGGTGTTCAGTGAATTGCCTTTAAATGTAATATATATAATTATAATTATAAGAATATATAGTTATAGTTTTATATATTATTTATTTAATTTAAGGCCATATTAGAATTATGCCTTATATAAAATAAATGGGGGTCCATATTCAAAACAAAATAAAGTATATGAATAAAAGCCTAACCAAAAAAGCGCTATGTATTTCGCACACGATGAGGTTTTTTCCAAATGTCAATGTAAACAGATTATCAATGCACTCAAATGATATTATAATTAGCTTTCTTAGTATGAAATATATTAAAATATTACCTATAGTGATGCTTAACATTACAAAAAACAGTTAAACATATTTTATTTGAACACCCTGAATATTTTTAAAAAACCAAATTTTTAGATATTACTTAAAAATATTTTAATGGCGGGGAAAAATTTTGCAAATTTATATATATATATTTGGTAAATTCTGTAATTTTGTGGAAGTGATAATCCAGAAAATATAGTGTTTTCAATTTAACAAAGATCATAATTATTTGTTCATTTTGGTGTCCAGAGACATATTCTTGGTTTAGACATATTTAAAAAAATATAAAAACCGGGTCGGACATCAGGTAACATAAAATAATAAAACCGAACAGGGTTGGTAATAAATTTTCTGGCCCTGAAATAATTGAGTTTTAACCGAGTCGGATATGAGAATTTTGCAATTTACAGACCTCATTTACCTCCGATGATACCAGATAGTTCTTGATGCCTGTAAAAATTACAACATACATATCGTCGGTCTAGAAATGGAGTGCTCCACTTGAGGTTTTTGATTTGAGAGCGAATTATTGATTAATTTCTACGAAATATATAAATAAAAACTAGATTCATAAATATTAATCTTGGCCACGTTAGAGCACTGTCAATTTTAGCTATTTTTAACTATACATATATGTATTATCTATGATATTATCATATTTTATGAGCACCCGTTGGGCCTCTTTTTTTAAATTTTATAAAAAATTATTATAAAATATGTATGGAAAAAATTATCAGTTAAATATTGGCATAAATTTATATTCAGCTAATTTATTTATGAATAAATTAGAATCAAGTGAAGATTGTGAGTTTATATTACATAATTTTTTGATTTATAGTAGTTAACTCTGTTTATTTTGCTTTTATTTAATAAATTATCAAAATAAAATTGAAATGAACATAAAAATATTCGTAAAGTGAAGTGATTATTTTGTTCCTCGCGCATATTGATTTTATCAAATAAATTTTTCCCATATAATTTTTGGGCAAAATTTTCTTCAGGCTATTATTTGGAAATAGTAATATAAATTACCTATCAGTTTTTTTACTTACATTAATCAATAAGTTTTTCCTAAATTCATCTAAACTTTAATATCGTTTTCCCCATTTTTAACAATTTTGCAAATGGAGCACTCCAATTGTAGACTGACGACATAGTATCTACGATAAGTTAAATTGGAATAGTAAAAATAATTATATAAAAATAAAAGTTAATTTTCTTTCCTAAAAAATTTGATTAGAGGCAAAGGTTCCTATTGTTAAATCAAACATTTAATTTAGTGCTATGTAAATGTAATAGTTGCATGGGTAAGCCTGATTGGCTGCTGTTAATCGAGATTGACTTTTTAAATTTGTTCAACTAAAATTGCTTTTATTTTAAACATGTTAGCCTTTAACCATGTATTTCGTTTAAATTGTTTTTTTATAATACACATATATATATATATATACCTTATTTTATATATATTTTTAGTATCATTTTTAGTTTTAGATATCTAAATTATAATTTTCCGATGTCCTCACTACGTCATCGTGTCGTCATGTCATCGCTACGTCATGTCATCGCTACGTCATGTCATCGCTACGTCATGTCATCGCTACGTCATGTCATTGTTACGTCATGTCATCGTTACGTCATGTCATGGGTACATATTTTTATTTTTTTTATTTGTTGATTTTATTTATTTATTTTATACAAACAGATGATCCTATAACTTAAGTTTTCTATGCCACTGTAGGAGGCCATATTAAAACCCTAAATATTACAAATTAGGAGTTAACTCATAGATTAATTGGTAAATCAGAGATTTCTCATTCATTAATTATAAATTTACTTAAGTTTTCTATGCAACTGTAGGAGGCCATATTAAAACCCTAAATATTACAAATTAGGAGTTAACTCATAGATTAATTGCTAAATCCGAGATTTCTCAAATTATAAATTTAATATCTCTAGGCTTGGGAAATTTTTTTCAAAATTAATGCAACTGTAGGAGGCCATATTAAAACCAATTGTCAAAGTAATACATTATTTACTAAATATTACAACATTTTTTCTTGTCCATACAACACCACCGTTATTGATATATAACATGGTGCCCCGCTCTGTATGGTAACTCACGCACAATGATATATAAAAATATCATATGAATTATGTAATAAATTATAAAAATTATTCGATATAAAAAATTGAATATATAATAGTGACAATATTTATTTTTGCTAATTTAAATAAAGTTTTAAAATAAAAATCTACATTATGGATGATAAAATTAGCATATTGTCCAACAGGGAGTTAAGTTCCCAAAATTGGAGGGGTGCTTGACGGAAACTTATTTGGAGAGACTTGACGATTATTTCTCTCAAACAATTTTATCCGAGTAAAAATTGAAACATTGATGAGGAATTTATCTGATGACCTATACGATAAAATTAAGTGATTATGTACTAAGGAAGATATCAAAGATTATAAAATTATTATTAAAAAATTAAAATTTTTATTACTTAGTCAAGATGTTTGGATATTGACTGGGAAGTTTAACCTTGCTTCACAAGGTGTTAAGGAATCTTTTTTGAATTGGTTTTTTAAACTGTCTAAGTTAAGTAAACCCTTTAATTTTATTAATGATGATGGCATAAAAGAAAAATTGAGAACATTTAGTTTAAATGACAATATAAAAAATAAATTAAATAAAAATATTAACTACACATTAGACGAAATGATTGAAATAGGAAGAAAATTAGATATTATTAACATTAAATCAGAAAGTGACAATGTTAATTATGTTTTTAGTAGGGATAAAAAATTTAATAAAAATAATGACAATAATAGAAATAGTGATAAGAATTTAGATATCCAAAGTACTTCTAATAGGAATGAGATTAATAGTAACTATAATAGACCTAATTATTATTCGAGGCAAAATTTTGACAGTAGGAATAGAAATTATGGTGATAACAATTTTAGTGATGATAACGACAACAGGAATAGGAATTTTACTAACGTTAGAAACAATAACAATTATAATAATAATAACTATAGAAATAATCAGTATAATGATAGTAACTATCAAAATTACAATTATCGGTATAACAATAGCAACAGAAACTTTCATAATAATAATTATCAATCTTATAACAACAACTATGGTAGGAACAACGCCTGGTTTAATTATAATCAGAGGAGACAGATTCAATGTGATGATCAAAATCATAATAATTACCGATCTCAATTCAAATAATTATGAAGGAAACAACAGGTGGCATAATAATGATAACCAAAAAAAACAAATCGAATATGACGATCGTAATTGGTGGTAGGATTTTAATCAAAGAAAACAAACCCAGTATGATAATCAAAACTTCTACGATAGCAATAATTGTAATATGAACATTGAAGAGGTTGGGGAAAATAAAGTTGGCACTGCCAAAAACAATAATGAGAATGATTTCAATGTCAACAACCTGGCTGAAAATACAGACAAAGGTGATGACAGTGCTTTTATGACTACTTTGAAATCAAATAATGTTACTACAACTCTGCAGGTTGACACTGGATCAAAGTATACCATCATACCTCATGATATGGCTAAAAAAATTGGCATAAGAGAAATGAAGAAATCCAGTTTGCGGCTTACAGCCTACGACGGAAACTTGATTAAAATCATTGGGACAACTCAAGTTAAAGTAAGTTATGAATGAATCATTAAATATTTATTAGCACTAGTTGTAGAGTCGAGAAAGAACGCGTTATTAGGAAGAATATGGATCAATGCCTTTAAAAATATTTTAAATAAATTCATAGGAAATGTCGACACCAATTATAAAGACGAAATAAATAAACTTATTAAAGATTGTGAATCCAAATTGACTAGAGAACCAATTAACAAAGTAAATGTCAAATTACATTTAAGATGTGACGCCCAACCTAAAATAATACCACCAAGACGTATACCGTATTCAAAGATTGATCTTGTAGGCGAAGAACTGAATAGATGGATACACGAAAAAATTATTGAGCCTGTAAGTAATGTGCGATGGGCGAGTCCTATAACCGCTGTATACAAAAATGATGGGAGCATAAGGCTTTGCGCAGATTATATAGACACTATTAACCCAACTCTCGAAGACTTTAGATACCCACTTCCACGTATAAATGATCTTATAGCTAAACTTTCAGAAGAAAAAAAATTAACCAAAATCGATTTCAAAAATGTTTTTCTACAAGTTCCGATAGATGAAAATAGCAGAAGATTTTTGACTATATCCACACATAAGGGATACTACCAATTTATCAGAATTCCTATTGGGTTGAAAACTTCATCTGCCATATTCCAACAAATCATGGATCAGATTTTTGGTGATATGAAAGATGTTATATTTTATATTGATGACTTATTAATACATTATATAACGATGAAGCACATTTAAACAACATCAAAAAGGTGTTTGAGAGAATATTATCGTACAAGTTAGTACCTAACTTCGCCAAAAGTTTGTTTTTTAAAAACAAAGTGAGGTTCCTGGGTCATGATATTGACTCCAAGGGGATTCATGCTAATCACGACAAAATTGAAGCAGTAATTAATATGCCAGAACCAAAATCAGCTGCTGAATTATCAACATTTCTGGGAATGGCTTTTTGAACAATTTTGCAGAAATAGCCGATCTTCTATATAAAATCGTCAACAAAGTTAAATGGGACTTATTAAAACCGTTGGAGGAGAAGGAGAACAAAATAAACGTTACTTTACCACGAAATAGAACCTTTAACGTAGGCGATTTTGTTTGGTATATACAAAGGAATGACACATCGGGCAAAGGGACAATCAATTTGAAGGAAAATGACACTATGTTCCAAGTTTATACAGAAAAAGGTATTACAAGGAAATACCTGGATCAATTAAGAAAGAGAAAATGCTATAACATTGCATACCATGACTCTCTTAAGAAGGACGGAAGTGTGGACAAAAATATTAAAACTAATGATAAAAATATTGTAACACCGACTCCTAGACCGATACGAAGTAGACAAAAACCTGTTTATCAAAAGTTTATATAACTTAAAATATTAAAATATGTAAAAATAAATTATATACTAAAACGAAAAAAAAAATAAAATAAAATAAGAACACTAAAAATATCATATAAAAACAATCTTGTTGAGTTATCATCCTTTTATTATTCTAACATCCAAATTTGATCAATTCTCTGATTATTCATATATTCCAACATCCTATTTGATACAATTTTGAAAAATTGATAATAATAACCACTGAGTACTATAAGCAAGCTACATGATAAAATCACGATTTATAACTTACGATAAGGATATCAAGCTTACGATTAAACAAGCCAACGATTAAGATGACTTATGCAACAACTTGACAATCAAAATGATAAATCATTTGGACGACAAGGTTTCTATGACAGCTCAGATGGATTATGGGAAGGTTTTTCAGAAGAAGGGGAATGTTAATCGAGATAGACTTTTTAATTTGTTTAACTTAAATTGCTTTTATTTTAAACATGTTAGCCCTTAACCATGTATTTTGTTTAAATTGTTTTTTTTATAATACATATATATATATATATCACCTTATTTTATATTTATTTTTAGTTTTAGATATATTTATAATAAATAAAACATTTTTTCTTGTCCATACAACACCACCGTTATTGATATATAACAGCTGCACTAGTGAGGGCAATTGGTAGTTGAATCTCAGTCAGAATTCTGGAAATATAACTCAATTAGAAAATGAACCTTGAAGCATATAATTTAAATGCAATATAATTCCAAAGCATTTTTAGATATTTTGCCCCTATTAAACCTTGGCAAACTGTAAAGCCTAGTGACGCCGCAGAAGCATCTGCCAATAATTATTTTTTTAAATAAAATTTCCTACCTGTCATCTTGATTTATATCTGTCTAATATTTATTGATAAACAACTTTGATAATATTTTAGTTTAAAATTCTTCGTCTCGATTGTGATTTTTATAAAAAACCTTGTATAGATCTTGCTAAATCTCTTTTAGGAAAAACATTAGTGCGTAACATAGATGGTTTAAGAATTAGCGGTAAAATTGTTGAAACTGAAGCATATCTTGGAATCATTGATAAAGCTTCTCATTCATATAAAAACAAGTTAACCTTAAGAAATGAGCCAATGTTTATGTCCCCCGGAACGTGCTATGTTTATCAAATATATGGAGTATATTATTGTCTTAACATATCATCTATTGGTAATTTATATATTTGTAAATAAATTTATAAAATAAACACCAGAAAAAGGAGCAGCAATTTTAATAAGAGCATTAGAACCACTTGAATGTATAGATTACCAACTAGAATTAAGATCTAAAATGAAAAAAGGAAGAAAGAAAATAACTAAACAGATTCATATAAGTAATGGGCCCTCTAAATTATGTCAAGCAATGTATATTGAAAAAGAAGGCATTAATAAAGAAAATTTGATATTTTCTGATAAAATATGGATAGAAGACAATCATATTATCATAAAGAATGAAGACATTGTTTGTAGAACAAGAATTGGAATAACCTATGCAGAAGAATGGGCAAATAAACTATTGCGATTTTATATAAAAGGGAATAAAAATATAAGTGTAAATTAATTTTTTTTATATATTGTTAATTTATTTTATCAGTAATCCTCAATAAAATAATTAAACTTATAAATTGTTTACATTATAATTTATCTTATTTTGAAAATTGATTTCATATTATTCAATATATTAACTTATTAATGGTATATATATATCATTTGTAGCCCAGCCCATTGACTGGGTAAAAGATTTGAGCCAAGACAGACAAATTTTGCAAAATATTTTTATGGGCCTCCAAAGTTTTGAATGTTTTTAAAGCTGATAATTAGGCAAATTTATGTTGTTTTCCTTTATAAAAAATTATCCTGGGCTGGAAAATTTGTATAAAATAGTTTACGGAATGGGGACTGACATGTACAAACCTTTAATAAGTATACATATATATGATTATTGCTAAAGAAAATCAAAAAATATAAAAACATCTTATTTAAAATCAATTTTATAAAGTAATAAAATTATTTTGCATGACCTATTTTATATTTAGTTTCCTTAATTTGTTTATAATTATTGAAATAATTATTTTATAAAAATAAAATTTATTATTTTGTCTCATTATTTATTCTATAGGAATAATTTCAGGTAAATATTGAGTAGATATAAATTAGATTCTGTAGGGCCAGTCTATCAAATATTTACTATTCATTTTCTTATAATATTTTGTACCATAGAATAATATTATTTAAATTTAATGCATAACATTAAATAGAGAATAAAATAAATTTTGAATTTAAGATTTCCTATATATTTAAAAAAAATTTGAGTCTAGGCCTAGATCTAAAATAAATTGCCACCAGATGTGGGCTAGATAGCAGTGTTATTGAACAGCTAAACTGAGTGGACTTGATCTAATTCTATTTTAGCTTTAAGTCATAAATCTCACTTCAAAAGATGCCACACGAGGTAACTTTTTAAGCTGGCTTGACTTCATAGTTGGCTTGATGAGTATTTGGGTAGTAGATAAATAGCATCATCTTACATAAATACACACAAATCATGGAATTTCAAATTTAAAAATATTTTATTTGGCTTAAACCAAAGTGGTTAAAATATTTTCCTTATATAGTAAATGGTAATAGCTGACCATTCAAAATAAATTTGAGCCTATTCATCTAGCCACTTTGATATGGACTCAATCCAACTTTGAAACCGACTCATTGAGCATCTCAATTTAAATTGTATTTTACAACTCCAACCCAGAGCTGTAAAACTCGACTTTTCAACAACATTAATAGCCAATGCTAAAAAATATTTTACTTATCTCTAAACAAATATTCAAATTCCTGGTTTTGATTCTAAAATTGTAACTGACTTTAAGCAAATACCAATATTTATTTATCAAAATTTTGATTTATAAAAATTTTTTTGAATAAAATAGGTCCCTTTATTACTAGTAAATCAGCATAATTAAACGTAAACAGCAATGTATTGTAGAGGTCTGCAGCTTGGGCCAGATAATGTCTGAAAAAAATTAACATGGGGCATAAATAATTTATTAGGCTGGATTCAGAGTTATTAAACCCTACATTTAAAAGTAGCGCTACTGCTATCGCTATTTGTCAAAAAAAGTAGCACACTAATGCTATCGCTCTCATCAAAATAAAATAGCGCGCTATTAGCCACTATTTTTTAAAAGTAGTTTTGACTACTTTTTGTAAAAAAATTTATTTTATTTTTTGCTTAAAATGTAAATGTATAGTATAATAATACATAAAATTCAACATTTATAAATATTTAAATATAGTTAGTTATGATTATAAATTTTTTTTATGTAAAATGACTATAATTTATGTAATAAAATAGCTATTTATGGTAATATTCATTTTTTATTTATTTTATTGCATTTTAATAATAAAATCATTTCTATACTATCATTCCCAAGTCTAGAGCGACAATCAGAAAGTATAACTAACTAAATAATCTCTCAAATCTTCTTTTCTCTCTTCTTGATCTCTAATAAATATTCCATATTCTATTGGGTTTTTTCTAAAAAACATTCACTAATTGAAACTAGTAGTTTCTATTTTAATAGTTGTTTTCTTATATGGGATCTATTCCTGTCTGAATTTTTAACAGTTAGATACTCTTCGTATTTTAAAGTCGTGTTTTAAGTGTAACAAACCGGGACATGTGGCCATGAACTGTAACGACCCATTATAGATGAGCTCTATCTATCCCTTTATTTAATTTTATATATATTTTTTTAATATAAGAAAAATAAAACGCGTCTAGTTTCTATTATATTAATATCCTTTATTTCAAAAAAATTGTTAAAAATGTTTTTATGATTGTTATGAGACTATTCAGCTTTACCATGAGCCTATCACGTTGATCTTTACCATCATCGGAATTGATATATGGCCACCAATTTAGTTTAAAATTGGGATGAATCATAAATTTTATTTGTAAGTACATCGTATGTCTGGCATCCTATTATCCTTTTGAGGGCCAATGCTACAGATCTTCTTTTTAAAGTCTTAGGGTCTATCTAATGGCCATTCTCAAATAAGCTCTAAAAATATTAATATTGATCAATTTATAAATATAAATAAGTTTTTACCTTGTTTCCAAATATCTATGGTGGTACATATATAGGATATCTCTGACAACTCTGCTATTAGAGCATCTTTCATCACTTCAAAGTTATCTACTATCTTAATCATTAGTGGCTGGTGACATAAAATTGATTTTCAACCAAGGACGTTGGCTATGTTGTATCAATTATAAAATCGACAATGACTTTTATCAGCCAGTATCTGAGAAATATTGACATGTGCAATATTATTAATCTATTTATCTTGAATTGAATTGGTCTTTTTGGATGTAGTCTCCACTATACTAAAATTATTACTATGTTTTTCTATCTTTAAAACTGTTGGCATGAACATTCTTATAATATAAATACTATTAGAATTTAAAAATGACAATTACCTTTAGGTGTTTTGAGGTTAGCTACTATTTATTTGAGGATATATTTTTTACATTTTAAACAAATAAATTTGTAGCCACCTTTTGTTTTTACATAAATTTGAAAATATTAAATTTTGGAAATGGAAAATGTGTATTATTGTTATTAGGAACATTTTCTTCCAGGGTACTTCCATTTCATTAATATCATCATTGTCTGATTCACATAGATTTGGATATCTATTTGCGATGACATTTTAAATAATTTACACCAGATGTTTTAGGTTTATAATACAAATTGAAAATATAAATTTCAATTACAAAATTAAATAATAAAAATTTTAATTATATTATATTTTAATTTTCAAGTTTATAGTTAATTCATTATATTTTTAAAAAGTAGCTAAGTAGAGCGCTAAAAAATTAATAATTGAAATAAAGCGTTATAAGCTATCGCTACCAAAAAAAGATAGTGTGCTACAGTAGCGCGCTACTTTAACAACTCTGGCTGGATTATTGATTAATTCTTATATTTGATAGAAGTTATAATCCATCCATCAAGTGTCGTGTTTTATTTTAAACACTCCTCAATATTATAAATTATCGTTGTGCTCAAGAACATATTTTGCGTCACTTATATTTAAGAAAACAGGGCTGGGCAACTTTGGTAAATTAGAAATGGGCTAGGCTGGGTATAAATTAGGCCAGAACAGGCGAAAGTTAAATTCTAAATGGGGTAAGCCAGACCTCTAATGTATTGCTTAAGGGGGAGGGGGATTTTTTAATACAAAATATGCCCATAGACCATCAAATAATCAATACATCCTGATTAAAAACGAAAAAAAAATGCGCATTAATTTTCCTTTATTTTATATTTGATTCATAATTAATGCTAAAAATTTTTAAGAACCTTTTATGTTCAAGGAGGCCATAAGTATAAAAAGGGGAAAAACACTATCAAACCCATTTTAGACAATTAAAATATATTAGTCCCTGGACTACAAAATTTTTCTTATATGGTTGTTATCCTAATGCCTTTATTTTATTGAGAGGGGGGGGGAAGGTGCACTATCCCAATTACAAGAAAATCTAATCTGTAAACTACTAGGTTATTTGGTTTACATTAAGTAATTCATTCAAATAAAATAATTTATTTTATAATATATGTAAATTGGAATAAAAAGAATTTATAGAAAATATTAATTAATGGCGTCACTTCCATTATCATTAGCGGAAGCAAGTTGATTTCACTCAACTCTCTAAAATTTGTGATTTATATTTAAAAAAAATCATGAGATTAAGACTAACAGAGAACATTTCATACGGCAATCCATTTACAGTGTTACACCGAAAATCAAAAACGATTCGTCCAGGTCTATTATTACTCATCGCCACTTGAAGTTGAAAGTATATACTTAGAATAGAGAAAAATAATTGATTTATTGATGACAATTATTCCAATATAATTAAAAGATCTAAATCCCAAAACTTGACATTAATATTTTATTATGGGTTATTTTATACATTTCCCTTTTAAACCATAATATTGTAAATATACATTACATATTATATAAATAATTTTAAAAAATAATAATTTTTTGTTTTGTTTTGTAAAAATTATAATTTTGCAATATTCGGATTGGGGGAGATGAAAATTTAAAATGCGCCAATAGCATTCGCATTTATCATACCAAATCAATATAACATCGTATAATTAGCGTATGAATTTATCCAGATGATCCTGATGGTTTCTTGGAAAAAGCATAAGCTGTCCTTGCGTATAATATTGTGACGATAGAAGATCGTCTAATTATAAATAATTATTATTATAAAAATTTTAATAATTTTTGCTTGCAATAAGTTAATAATATTTAAAAGTGTTGTGTTAATTTATAAAATTATTTTAAGCATTTTATATTCGAGTAATATTTTTTTTATGAATGATTGTTGATATTATAATAGAGGAAAAAAATCACAATGGCGTTTTGCAGAACTTAAATAATGAAGAAAATATAATAACATTTATTTTTTTAAAATATTAATTTAAAGATGGGAATTGAATTTTAGAGATAATTTTTTTTTTTTAGATTATTAGAAATAATAACAAATTTACTTTTTTAAAAATTATTTTAAAAATAAATTAAAACTTTAAAAAAAAATAAGCGCCCGTTATAACATTTTATAAAAATGATTATAAATCGGTTTCAAATTATTCAAAGAAATAATATATCACGATACATCGATTATGAAAATAGTAAGAAGACGCTTTTGTGTGGGGGGATAAAAAAAAATCTACTATATAATATTTAAATTTTATTCGTCTACAAACAAAATATCGCCGATGACATCAGAGACTACGTCATCGTTCATGTTAGAGACATTTGATTCTTCGTTGCTGTTATTATTGTTTCGATTAAGCGACGCGTGTTGACTTTAAAGTGTAGGTTTATTTCAATATGTAATAACAACAAATTACAAAAAAAAAATTGAGGAAAAAAGTAAAAAATAAATAAATTTATAAAAGGGAAAAATTATTTTTAAGTTATTGATTTTATACCGTACCTTGGAGTCCCGGAGGAAATGAGGAAGGATGGCGGAAGAGAAGATATATTAGGAAGTGTTTTAGTAGGAGGCTTACGTTTGGAGTGACCTTTAGGTCTTGTCTACATTTAAAAATAATATATATAATTTGGCGGAAAATTTAAAAAATAATTTTTTTTTATTCATTCCTCGAATAATTATATTAAAATTGATCCAGCCGTTATAAAGTATATATTTCAGTGCTGTTAAATAGCCAGGCAAGAATTAAATAAAAGTTTAAAAGATGCACTCTCTGAAAAAAAAAATTTGTAACCCATTTTTAAAAAGTAAACAATAATTATTCAAAATTTTGATATTAAGGAAGAACGTCTATTAATGGTGTGCTCAGTTTTACTGCACCAATAACCATATATTCAATTAGTAAAGGATGGAAGAATTGCATTTTAAATAAATATTTCAATAACGGAAATTGATGAAAAAAAATATATTTAAACAATTTTAATTTCAAAGAAAAATTCAATCAATTTTGTCATCATAAAAATCAGTCTTTATTTTGCATGATTTAGGAGTTGATTTAGAGTATCACGTGACCATTTATAAAGTGCAGATTAGCATAACTAAAACCCTTTAACACGCGTGGTGGGGGGGGGAGCGCACGAATCAATCGCATTATTAAAATGGGGGGGGGGAGTCCTTTTATGAAGATATATGTCAGACATCCTACTATAGGATGCACTGTCCGGCTAAATGACTTTCGGTCCTCGTGGGGAAAAACGTGACTAAATATTTCACGAAATGATCAAAATTCTAAAATCCGGGAAAATGTTAAAATAGTATGATTTTATAAAATATCAACAATTAGTTATTATAGAAAAATAAATAACTTATAGGTTTCGTAGAAATATCGAAAAATTTAGAATTGGATCTGAGAAAAATTTTTGGATCGACACAGCCATATTTTTGAGATATTAGATACCATACTTATCTATATATATAATCACCGTAATCAAGAAATGAACGTTTTCCTATCATCTTAATGTTAAATTTTATTTTTTCTATCAACTTTCCTATCTTCTTAATGTTAAATAAATCGATGGAGACTATATCTCTCTAATGATAAATTTTAAGAAAATTTTTTGCACATCATGGGATTTGAACCTATGACTTAACGTTTTAAAGGCATACGTTCTTCCACTGAGCCACCTTCTATATTAAATTTTGTATTATAATCTTTCTTATATATGTTATTATTTTGCTATTAACATTTATTTTCCAATTAATTTATATAATTTAGATCTCATTGTGTTATATTAAAAAGAATACTAACCTCACCTCAAATTATGATAAGAATGAATATTATTAATTTTAAAATAGCAAATTAAATTATATTTAGCCAATTGAAAAATAAACATTTATCTCATATTAATTTTAGCATAAATATTTATATTCAATCAAAGTAAAATTTATTAATTTTTATAAAATTATTTTATTACAATTTAGATCTAACAAATTTATGGTAAGAATGAATATTATTAAATTTAAAATAGCAAATTAAATTATATTTAGCCAATTGAAAAACATTCATCTCATATTATTAGCATAAATATTTATATACAATCAAAGTAAAATTTATTAATTTTTATATTACATTTTAAATCTATAAATTTAAATTATTTACCACCCCAAAATATCGCAGTAAAATTTTTTTTATCTCAACTACAATATGGGAGCTCTGCAAATAGTATAAAATACCTATTTATCAATATCTTCTTATGCCAAAAAATTAAACTCCCTCACTAATCCTAAGTACTTATTACAATTTAGATTTAACAAATAAATTTAAATATATTTAGCCAATTGAAAAATAAACATTTATCTTATATTACCACTCCAAAATATGCCAGTATAAAAATTTTATCTCAACAACAATATTTGAACTCTGGAAATAACATACAATACCAATTTATCAATATCTACCCTACATTTTTGATTACAATTTCATATATTTTACGCTAAATTTAATAAAATTTGTCATTTATTTTATATAAAAAAATGTATTTAAAAAAAAATTCATATAATAGTTCAATTTATTATTCCCATCATTCTTGACGGGTTATCAACTAGTAAATATTATAACACTCAATTTAATTTTTAACTTATTTCTTTCGAATATAAAAGAATAAACCACCCAAAACAAAAGGTTTAATCAATATTCTAATAAGAATTGATTTTAAAAGAGGGGATGTTTTAATAACAATCTTTCTTATTTTTTCGGAAGGGAATCATATATCAATTACCAATGTAGGTGCGGCTAAAGTTGTGTGATTAGAAGGTTGATCAAAGGATAGCACGTTGTCCGCGGGTTCGTCCAGCGTTATTTTGGACGGGTGATTATGTATGTGCCGCATGACGGGAGATCTCGATAAGTGGCTACGTTTATCGGGTTCAGGTGACTTTGGTGGGTTATAAGAGTTTTCGGTTTTGTGGGAGGCGGAAGAAGTTTGAGGTAATTTCGGCCTGAGAGCCATTGGGTCTATATGTATTTTACCCTGACATAATATGTAATGGGAGGGAGTTATATGATAAAAATAAGTTTTAAAAATAAAGTCCATGATATTATGTAAATAATAATAATAACTATATAAAGGGTAAGAAAGCATTTGAGATGCCAAGTTATTCTATTTATAGTATATAAAAAAATTAGACGATCATATAATTTATATTATTTCAAATAAATAAAACCAAAGAAAAAATCAAAAATGACAGTCAGTGATTATTACTGTAATGCATAATTGAACTTAGACAAATAAGCGAAATAATCTTCATTCACAAATTAGACGCATGTCGTGATTATGGTTGGTTTATGATTTAATTTATTTAATATATTCAATAACGTTTATTTTCTTCTCACAATTTCCTTTTAATAAATTTAACGAATAAGTAGGATAATTCCTTATCAGCCAAATTTATAAAATAAATATAAATTAGCCTAATCTCTTAGGAAGGACTATTTATCTTCGAATTAGGAGAACTTTATTTGCGTAAGGATTAAAATATTAATATATTTTTTTTTACATAAGATAGAAGGTTAATTTAAAAACATTTTTTTTAAAAAAATACAAATAAGCATTTTTTTAAAAAAAAAATATTAAGAGAATGTTCCTATGAAGCTTAAATAGCCGTCAGGAATATAACGATTTGAGATGATTGTATAATTTATAAAGATGATTCATGAACTCCGTGGATATGGGCATTTTTTTTCTAAAATCTTTTATAAAAAATGATAGCCTTGTGGGTGTCTCCTGGTTTGACTTATTTTTATACTTCTCTTTAGCCTACACTAAAGAGCTTTTAAACTAGGGCAACCTATTTTGAATTGTTTTAGGTGGAAAATATCGGATCGGGCCGATACCTGTAAAAACCGATCCGATTTTTTTACTGTTATTTTATGATGTATATTTATTTTATATAATTATAATAGTTTTTTTTATCTATTATAATATAATCTTTTTTAATTATAGTCTTAATAGTTGATATAAACATAAATAAATTAAATCCATTATTCGATTTTTTATATAAAAAATATTGATTTCTAAATTACATTTGGTTTAAAGGGGGTGGTTAAAAATCAGTATAAATAACGGATCGGCATCGGATTGGTTTTGAACCAATATCGGATAGGATGGGTGAAAAATAGGTGGATCGGCATAGCCCTAGTATTTTTGTTGTTTCTCATACTTCCTAGCCTGTTTAGTCGAAGCAATAGAGCCGGATAAGTCGAACCATGACATACCCCGAGGACTTAAGGACTTACCAGTAATTAGTGTTATTAAACGGCTAGATTTTTAAAAACGGCTAACCCAATATTATATCCAAAAATTGCGTAATTTTGTTTCATAGATGGCAGAAATGTTTGGGGCATGTATTAACGAAATCTATAGGTTTGGGTAATATTATTATGACTAAAATCTTAATTTAAAATCGAATAAATCGAGCCGTCTAACACCAATAGTAAAAAAAATAACCGGGGAAGGGTGGGGTTTAAAAACATTTTGTTTTTATTTCTAATTAGTGGTAAAAAAATTTATTTTTATCTTTTTTTAAAAAAATAGGCCAACATTTAACTATATCTTTAATAGATAGATCCAATTATTATTATTCGGAAGAAAAAGATGGGGCAGGAGAATAAGGTACATTTTTTTTCAAGGAACACTGAAAAATTACAAGCGCTATTTGAAAATACTATTTATAAAAAAAAGCATTAGAAATATAAAATAATTTGTGTCGGAGTCTGGCCTAAGTCTAAAAACAATTTTGTCTAAATCCGCACACGCCCGTACGAAAAGGTCTTACATAGAGAAACAGTTTTCTTCTCATATAATCAACCTCCTCAAGAGGTTACGGTTAGGATTGTTGCCGGTTAGGGCTAGTGTTTATAAATGGTTTCATCGCATTTCAAAATTTGGGCGTTTTTTAAAGTAAATTGATCTATTTTGTCTTCACTCCCAAGCAATACATCAATATCCGGATGTAAATAAAGTAACCTAGGAAGATGAGATCCAAAATATGCATCGCAATCATTAATAAATCTAGTTGAATGTGTTTATGGCACAGAATTACAATAAAATTTTAAAAAAATCCTATTCATTAGAACAAAAATCTTCGACCACGACATGCAGTGTTAAACGGCTCGTTTTAAGCCGGTTTTTTAAAACGGCTAACTCGATATTTTAGGCAGAAAAAAATATTGCCTAAGTCTCAAGATTTCGCTAATAGATGCCTAGACCTCTGTAACATCTATAAGCAAAATCTTCAGGTTTCCGTAATATTTTTCTGAATAAAATAATAAGTTAGCCATTTTTAAAAATAGGCTAGTATGGAGCCGTTTAACAACACTACCGACATGATAGAAATCCCGACATTTTAAGCTCCTCATTCGATACGGGACAATTGGTTAATTTTAAACTGCTCTACAACAACCTACTTTCGGACAAATTGACTGATGCACCCTCTATAGGGTCCTGGAGTGCTCACCTTTGGAAATTGTCTCGTCGGGAGTGTGAAACGAAACATATAAACTGTAATATGTAAATAGTTTCTAAATTAGAGTCATAATCATAATTCATTAAAAATTGTTATTCTCTGCGAACTTAACTAATATTATGAAATAATAAATTAGGTTCTGTAAAAAAATTTAATTTTAAATTAGTAATTTTTAAAACTCACCTATATAATTATGTATCATTATTATTTTTTAAATTTTTTTTTTGTAAAAAAAAATGTTATTTTATTGATCTTGTAGTAGCGTCGGTAAAATTCAAAATAAATCTACAATTTATTTAATTTCATGTGAAATAAGTGAAAGGTATAAATTGGTAAATAAATATAAATTTTCTTATTTAATAAAAAAAATTCACATTTTATATCAATTAAATATTTATTTTTAGATCTTTTGCGATTAAAAAAAAACAACTTTATTACTAAAGAAAATATTACCGATTCCTTTATAAACATACTTGTTATATTTCAACAATTTTTGCAAGCTGAATATAATTTATTTGCAAAAAATTAAAAAATACGGAAATATTCCATCAAATCTGAGCAACACTGTAGATTTAAAGATTAAAATAGTGTTGTTAAACAGCTCGTTTTGAGCCGATTTTTAAAAACGGCTAACTCAATATTTTAGCCAAAAAAATATTGCCTAAGCCTCGAGATTTCGATAATATATGTCTAGACCTTTGTTCCTTGTATGAGCAAATCTTCAGACTTACACAATATTTTTCTGGGTAAAATACTGAGATAGCCGTTTATAAAAATCGGCTCAAAACGAGCCGTTCACTTATATGTAAAAAAATATATAATTTATTAATAGTCGTCGTAGTTCGATTATTATAGTTCTAGTTCTATTCTGCTCACTCCATTCTCAATCAATTTTAAGATAGAATTAAAGGTTTATAAAAACCAAATATTATTCTTTCTTTCTTCCTTCCTTCTTTCCTTCTTTCTTAAATATCGGGTTAGCATCGACCATTTTTGTTAATCTTAATATATAATGTATTTTTTACGTGTCAAAAAATTTTTTTAAAAAAGAAACCTTGATTTTCTCTATAGCCGAGAGCCGCGAGGGCTTCCCGCCGTCCTCTTGATCCAGCTTTCCACGACTTAATCCGTGCATGTCGTGCTTGATTTTGCCGATTTTATTAATATTATTATTAGTTGAGGTCATTATCACAGGTAACTGTAATTCACCGTTGCTCTGATCGGAAATAATACGTTTCTCCTCCGCCGAGCTCGGGGCTTGTTTTTTGACTTTGGACACGGACGGAGGTGAGAAGGAGAGCTTTTTGGCCATCAGGGCCTTTCTCCTCTCCTCGAAGTTGGCGGCCGACAATGACGTCATGACGGAGAGGGGTGACAGGAGGTTATGGAGGATTTATTCGAATAATTTACCCGGATATATAAGATAATTTGTCCATGAACGAAAATTAAATTGGAAAAATTGAAAGGAAGCGCTAAAATATAAAAATGATTGATTTTTGAATTGTCTTGTAATAGTTAATTGAGCAAGTCGCGAAGTCCGTGATTTAGCAGCGGAACTGAGTTAAAGATGAACAAGTAATTAAACTCTATGACCTTTAGACAAGAATAATACTATGCCTGCCAAAGAAAAAATATTATTTATTATTAGAGAAAAAAAAAATAGAGAATATGTATGGATCGTAGGTTTAAGGTAATGATTTACAAATAAAAATTTAGGAAATTTGATATATTTTTAAAATTGTAGCTCAAATTTATTTTTTTAAAAAAATGACTTTAAAACACAAGATCAATGTCATTTTCCTGGCATAGATTTTGTCCTAATATTTAAAAAAAACGCGTAAGCTATTGTTTTAATTTTAAAATCGATATTTTAAAAATATATTGATTATTTCATTTAAAAATTTATGAGAAACAGCTGTTTCGATCAAATTAATGATCGGGAAAAGAGTTTTAAAAAAGGTAAATGAATGGTTTATGGAGAATTATATATAATAATGTAGGAAAAACAGAGATCAATGGCATTGGCAAATAAAATATTCCCATAAATTAATAAATCCAGGCCAAATTAATTGATAAAATTTGCAACGTTTTTATTTTTATTCATAATTAATGCATATAATAAAGCCTGATCCACCTTTGACGCTGCGTTTAAAACGCGTGCAAAAATAAAAGTGCGAATTTTATCTCCCTATCCTTCAACATTAAAACCGTTCAAACGCAACGTTAAGGAAGCAGACCATGACCAACCCTAAAACATTTTTTCGACGTTCTGACGGGGGCAAAATATACAAGAGCGTTTTAGGGTTTGAGGAATTATGCATTGGATAAAATATATTCACTATTACTGGCATAGACCTATGAATGAGTAAACCTGGCCCGGCCATTGGTTATTTAAAAGGCGGTTTTCGGACCTAACAAATGCGAAATATAAATGAGCTGAATTTTTTTTAATTACACAATCAACCTATTCGAAATTAAACATCCAATCACGATTTTCGAGTTTCATTTTGAAAACTATTTAGTTTATAGTCAAAAAAAATTTAATGACCAAATTTAAAGAATCCGGATATGAATAGAATATGTGCTGTATTCGATTCGAAAATTAATTTTTTTTTAAATATTCTCAAAAATGGAAAAATTGATTTATTAAAAAAAGTAATTTATGGATGCAAATAATTCCCATGATTATTTTTCTGTATTTATTAATATAAATTATTTTAATAGAATAATCTCGAATAATTCGATCGAATAATAAATAAAAAATTATTCGACGAATAATATATTTTCCTTATTCAAATTCGATTCGAATTTTCGAATCGAATATTTGTGTTATTCATATTCGTAAAATACGAATCGAATCGAGTCGAATATCGAATAACAAATAATTCGTTTTAGGTATATCCACAAGGAACATTTAAATATAGAGAAGAATTTATATTTATGAATAATTTCGAATATTTACAAATATTTTTATGAATAATTCGATCGAATGATAGAGAAAAAAAATTATTCGACAGATATTTTTCTTATTCGATTCGAATTTACTATCGAAGAAGAAAAAATCGTTTTAGATATAGTCTTTAATAATTTATGAAATTTTAAAAAAATAAATATGGATGACTTTATATTCATCCGAAAATAAATATGATCGACACATTTACTTAACTAGTTTTCGAATTAGAGGAATATTTTTGCGGATTAAATTTTAGTATCTTGCAAAAAAAAATTACCCCATAAACTAACGTCTATAGTAAGTGAAATAACTTTTAATTACTTCTGAGGTTTTTATTTCGAAACCCAGAAATATTAACTATTCCCTTGGGAAACGTTCCAATCAGATATAACTACAGTGTCGTATATCTGTGTAAAATGTTAAACAAATAAGGCAATAACAATGACAAGTATAATTTGTCAATCATTTTTATTTTCGGATGATTGTATTTTACAGCAAATCGTTAAATTCCGCAATAAAAAAAAGAATGAGAAAGTTAAGGAGCGTTTGAAAGTTCAATTTTTATACCTTTTTTCCCCTCACTTTTATTGTTTTGTTATGGTGTAAATTTTTACAAAATATTATATCATAGTTAAGTATTATAATAATAATATTGTTATTTTAATGTTGTTAAATATATATAGAAGAAGAGAAAGAAAAATTATTATATTATCTATCGGCCTTTACAGATTTCTTAGATAATGTGTTATTCCCTGTAAAAAAAATAATATCCTTTTTTTAGGAGAAATAAAATGATGGTTTTAGGAAAATTTTTCAGATATGACCTTACCTCCAAGCTACTCGTTATTTAAAAAAAGTTTTATTTACCGACCACCTCTCTAGTGTAGTAACATAGTTGGGGCTAAATGTTGGCTCAATCTTCAGGCGCCTGCCTGAGAAAATACGTTAACCTTTCAAATTTGAGCTGCTATCTTTTTAAGAAAAACGCCGAGGCCAGAACGATAGTTTTCAGCTAAAAACTTAGTTTAGCCGATTTTTTAGTGGGTTAAAAATATATAAAGATAGTAAGGTAAAAATCGACCTTGATGGTAAATAATTTACTAAGTTAATGCATGTTTATAAATGGCTATATTATTTTTCGTGAAAAAAGAGCTCAGATTAGGACATCATCGTTGTAATAAATAATAATCTATACTTTTGAAGATTTCTGTGCTTCAAAGATCAAATTTTTGTTTGTTGCAAAATTTCATAAAATTTTTATGCATAAAAAATCGCAGAAGATATTTATTAGCTCAAAAAATTTTTTCAGAAATTTTAGGTTTAAAATTGATCAAAAAAATCCTCTTTTAAATTTTTTTTTTGAAAATCAAGATTTCTTTTATTTTGAAAAGCATTTCATATTGATTATTTAAAGAGTAAAACAATTTTTTAGTATCGGATGGGATCGATTCGGTTATCAAATAAATATTTTTTTAAAAGAATACAAAGGTATCGACTGGTATTTTAAAATTATAATCAAATCCGAAATATCAAGATGACATAAAAAAATTAATATTATTATCGTTGAGGTTATAACCCGCCCACCCATGATTTTAAAAAAAATTCAACCCGCCCTAATGACATAATAATAATAAGACTTATTTTTAAAAATGCAGTTTAAGGCGTGATTGAATATAAATCAGCTGGTGTACGTCATTTTGTTTTCATGTTTTTATATTTAAAATAGCTTTGTTTACTTATTTTCATCTAAAGTTTCGAAAGTTTATGAACTTAATAAGGGAAACCAAAAAAGACGTCTCATCAGCTGATTTGATGATACACATTTAAATGAACGAATCGTAAATCTAGGTAGTGTCGTATGTTATTCGCCCGCTCATTTTTTAAAAAAATTTCGGCTTAGCTATTTATTTTGCATGTATTCCTCCCTTAAAATATTAGAAATTCACTCGCCCTCCCGTTCTTTCTGATTCGGGCCTAAAAAACGGACCCGGGCCAGGCCTAATCAAAGAATGGCCAATGAAGGCCCCTGAAGGTAAGACTTATAGAAAAAACTCTCCATTTTTTTTAAAAAAAATTATAACTCCTCCCTCAGTCATATTAATTCGCTGAGCTTTGATATTTTGAAATTTGAATTTTATATTGATTAAAGTTCAAACTAAAAAACAAAATTTAAGTGTTAAAAATATAAAAATTTACAAAATTTATGAATGCAATGCCCATAACACCAAATCAACTGAGGAGCATTTTAGTTTCCTATATAAATAATTTACAATTAGACTATTTCAAAAATCATTTTTTAAAAAATTCGAAAAGTTTTATTGGCAAATTTTATCATTTTAATGAAGTCGTATTTTAAATATTTTAAATTTACAAAATTTTATAGAATTATATTTTGGACATCGTTTATTTTCATTAAAGTTTCGAAAGTTTGTAATTTTATTTTTTTTTGATATTTTGAACACAGCCTAAAAATATTTTTGAAAATCTTAAAAGAAAAAAATCAGTTTCATTTATTTTTTTTAAACGGGAAATTAAAATGGCGTAACACCAGCTGATTTGTATTCAACGATGCTTCAAAACGCATTTTAATGAATAAATCGCCAGTTCTAGGTAAGTATTATCATGTCATTGTGCAAGACTAAATGTAAAAATAATTATGTTTTAAAAACTCCATCATGTTACCAATAACTCGAAAGCTAAGACTAGTATACCCCTAAAACATTATCAGTCGATCGATGTCAATCCAATGATTGAAAAATTAGGGTTGGGTTCAGCCAGAGTTAGGTTAGTAAAAAAAAAAGAAACTGAAAAAAAAACTCTCTTTACCAACCCTCAATCATAAAAGTTTGAAATGTAGATCAAAAGTATCATATAAATTAGTCTAAATAAATCCGATATTTTTTGCACAAAAGTTTGATCAAAAGATTTTTGAAGATCACAAAATTGAAGATTTTTTAATTACATCAAGAAACATTTTCTATGCATAAAAATCACAAAATATTTACTTAAAAGATTTTTTACAAATAAGATTAGAAATTCAAGTAAAATTTGTTCAAAAAAACTAGTTTGAGGATTCTCAAAAAATCTTCAGAGATCAAAATTTTAAAAGATATTTTAATTTGAAAAGCATTTCAAATTATAAAAAAAAATTTCAAAAGCAATCATTCTAATCACATTTTGGCAGAAAAAGTATATTATATACTAAAAAATAAATTCTTCCTTTTTGTAATTAAACTGAAATGTCGGGTAAAAAAAAATATTTAGAGCTTTAGGGAAATTTTTAATTATACCTGATCTATTTTAAAACTATTATTGTACCATTACCATCTTTCCGCCATTTTTAATTTATTTAATAATGGTTCATATCAAACGAAATATTAAATATGAATTCCATGTCAAATCGACAAACCTTTGGTATTTTTCGTGGCGACTCCCTTGAATTTCAGAAATTTATGCAGTTCACCTATTAGGGGTAATCATTCGCCCAAATTTTAAATTTTTATCTAGCCCGCGCAAATATCAAAAATATAAGAAATATTTACATTTTTAATCGTCGATATCTCATACACGGACAAAGATGATAGAGGACTACAAAATATTTTAAAACCTTGAATCGGGATTCCGAACTGAGCCCAATCTTCGGACCCGAGTTCTAGATTTTTTC